GCTGAACTGGTCTGTGCTGCACATAGACAAGCTGGAAGCCCCAAGAAGGTAAATGTAAACAGGAAGACTTATCCAGTGAATCACAGTTTTGAAGATCAGTTCCTCCTACCAGCAGAACAGGTCTTGGCAGTGGACTGAATTGGAAGTCTGTTCTTTTAATGATAATTACACCTTTAGAAAGGAGATGATTGTCAGATTTGTACAGTTTCAATTTTTAAAAAAAACATAAAATCTATAAGAGACGATCTGGTCAGCTCCACCTCCCAAGGGCTTTAAGCCCATTTTACAGGTGAGCTTCCCAGTACTACTATGGTGCCTGACGGCACTCCGGTCCCCGCTGTAGGAAAGCCGCTTTTTCATACATATTGTTGCTGCGGCTTCTTTTTAGTAGCTGCCTTGCTTGCCAAGTCCTTTGCCTTCTCTGTAGCAGCCAAGGCAGTCTCCTTGGCTTTCTCTGTTGCTTCTTTTGCTGTTTCCACCAAGGTTTTAGATGGTGCTTCACCTGTGATTTAAAAAGAAAAAAAGAGTCAAGCAAGTTCTCACAAAACCCTTGCCACTTAGCTCAAGCCCTGACAAAAAAGGTTTCTCTAGAAATGCTCTGCAAAACCGCTGTGTTTAAATATTGTTGTATGGGGACTTAATGGCAGAGGTTTCATGCCAAATGGTTGTTAACCTACTGGCTTTAAACAAGGGAAGTTATTTATTTCCCTCGTGGGAAAAGGTTCAGAAACCAATTAGAGATTATGGAGCAATACAGGGAAAAGTGCATTCTTATGGAAATATGAGAGAAAGAAAGAAGCAAGACAGAGGCCATTTCCCCCATAACACACAGGAGTTTTACATGCCTCTTCGATATCTACCATGGCTCCTCAGTGCTTCATGCTCCTCCTAGCCTTTTGCTTTGCAACAACTACAGGTCAGGAAATTAACAGAACTTGGCAAAGTTTACCCAGAATATATGCAAAAGCCTGAAGTAGTGCTTCCTTTTTGGGTTACTGAAACGGCTGCTGATTGTGACTAGTCAAGCAAAAACACCAACGTTTCTCTTGTGACTTAACAGATGGGGAAGCATAATACGATCAAGGTTCGCCAGCAGGGCACAAGGGCCACTTCAGTACTGTAAGATCATATGAAGAAGGCTAGTTGGGCTTCAGCATCAGTTCCTTGCTCTGAATTAGCAGAATCAATCAAAACATTACTGTGCTATACATATCCTAGGAAAATAGCAGGAGGCTGCCAATCCAGCACGATAGCAGTGTACATTAATCTTTTTCTTACAAAGCTACATGCTACCGATAGTTTGCATGCTGAGCACCACCCGATTACTCCATCCCCATGTGTGTCAGTGATAGTATCCTCGGCCCCTGCAGGCCCTTTTTAACAGTTGGCACTGCAGACACTTACCTTGCATTTTGGCCAGGATATACTCAAATCCTTTGGTGCTCTTGCTCACGTTGCTTTTGAACCTGGCCAAACCAAACTCCTGAAACAAGAACCCAGGAAGTATGAACAGAGACTAAGAAAAACATGTCCAGAGATTTCCCCATAGCTATTTGCACAGCTTATCCCTAGGCACTTGATCACTGTATACATGTGAAAATATATGGAGCTATATAGATATATGGTACTCTCACCTGGACTGCACGTGAGACACCAAATAGGCTGGAGGAGACCCAAGCTTCCCGCTTGACCTCTGTCCAGCTACTGTTGTCTGGGTTCTCTTTGTAAACACAGCGTTCTTCCACCACCTGCATGGGAGATGGGAGACCAAAATGACCATCACTCTCAACAATCAGCACTGGCTCCAGACCTTTACAGCATAGCACCAGCCCTGCACAGAGCAACTGCTGAGTACCATAAGACGTGCATGGTTGATGTTCCAGGTGAATGTGGTCATAGTTTGGTTCTGTGGGTCCACAATGGAATCTTCTAGGATGTAGACAGAGTGGGCAACATTGGCTGGAAAGAAGCGCTCTGCCCAGCGGGGCATCCTGTTGGTCTTAGTTAGGAGCCGCCTGGAAAGCAGCTTCTGGTCTTCTGTCACTTCCCGGTACACGATATCTTCTGTCAGGACATGTTTACTGGGGAGAGGAGACAAAGGCATTTTAGATGTGTGTGTGTGTTCTAAGCAGTCTTGAATGGGCTTTATTCAGCCAAAGCCCAAGTAGCAGAGAAAGCCATAGTCAGTGTCCCCCGCAGAGCCTATTAATATAGCTCCTGCCAAATGCAGTAGTGAAAGCCTGGACAAAATCGTTTATAGAGGAGAGGAGCTAGTTCACATAAAGCAATTCTAGCCTATTCTGAGCAGGGTGTCTGTATCTCCAACTTCCAGAGTCAACCTTTTGTCATGTTACTTTCAGTAGCTGGCCAGGGTCCGGCTTACCTGAAGGACCGCCTCTTCCCATATGTTCCCCCAAGAGCACTACGATCGGGGAACTCCCATCTCCTGGTAGTTCCAGGTCCCCGAGAGATCAAGTTTGCCCCTACTAGGGCCAGGGCATTTTCGGTGGCGGCTCCTACCTGGTGGAATGAGCTCCCAGATGAGATCTGGGCCCTGCGGGACCTTATGCAGTTCCGCAGGGCCTGTAAGATGGAGCTCTTCCGCCAGGCGTTCGAGTAGGAGCTGCCGCCGCCACTATCCTACCAACGAGGTAGTGTGCCATCAGCAGCCCTGTTAAAGGGGGACTGGCCCGGCCTGGTAGAACAGCGTAGCAGGACACTGCGTTGCCAAGAGAGCTGGCCATCAAATTTAGGTGGTTGTCCCATCTTGGAAGATTAAATATAGGCTCAGCACCGTGTGATAGGATGGTTTTATTGTGTTTTAAATATGTAATTTATTATAGGTTTTATTGTATTTTACTCTGGCTTTGCCATATGTAAGCCGCCCTGAGCCGTTGGGAGGGCGGGGTATAAATAAAAATAAAAAAATAAATAAGTGGTGATTCTCAAGAGTTTCACTAACGGTGATTCCTCTACCCATCTGCATTCTGCCTTTGGGACATAAGTTTTAACTGGTGCTCAAGAACTTTATAGCTCCTAACACTGCATTCAACAACCACTGGTTGGATACAGCCAGCAAGTTTTGGGGGACCTGCTGAAGCCTGCACAGCTCAGACAAACCCATATTTATCTCATTGTATAAGTCTGTGGGAAGTAGCAAGCAAGATGAGATCCCTCCTAGCATTTGTTGCCTTAGAACTATCTCTTCTGTGCCTTTGGGTGATCTAGCTTTGCCAGCACACTGGAGCAGGGAAATGCTGCGCCACATTCATGGTCAGAAGCGATTTCAATGATCATAAAAGCATGAGCTTGTGTACCTGGCCCTTTTCTCCACCAGAATGCAAAGCTATTCTGATGTCAGAGTCAGCAACATATAATAAAGGGCCCGTCTTGCTTCCTGTCATAGCGGTATTTGGGGCTGTTTTCTGCACACATGTCAGGGTGTTACTTCCTCACACACTTGCCCATTTTAGCTCTGGAGCCAGTATAAGTTAAGCAGAATTTTCCGGTCTTATTTCAAGTTGATACAGGCAAAGAACAACAGGCTTCAATTACAGCGCTGACAAAGCCACAGGCGGCTCAGTAGCGCTCAGTCCAGTGGGTGAAAAGTCCTTGACTCTGGAGTGGAGGGGGCCAGCTTGACCAGGCAGAGGGCGCCCAGCCCGATTTAGAGCACTGCTCCTCTGCAGCGTTGCAGAAATAAACCCAGCGGATTAATGCGAAAAGGCTGGGCACGATTACTTAGCAATAAGCTCCAGTGAACAGAGTAGGGCTTAGTTTGGAGTAAACAAGCAAGGGGGGGGGGGTTTCGTAAAACTGCAGTCTTGAAACACTTCCATCGAAATGAAGAGCTGTGAAATTCAGGAGGCCTAGTCGCACTCTCCCCGCCGTGTCTTTCATAGTCCTGAAAACACTTTCCTAGAAGTAAGCCCCACCGGATAAAATGGGATTTATTTTTTAGTAGACATACTTAGGAATTTTGTTTTCCCCAATCTCCGCCCGTAAGGATACCCAAGATGAAGCCTAGGGAATCGGCTCCTCCCGCCGCTGAAAATCCAGACGCATCCCCCAAAATCTCCCGCGGGCGGCAGAATGACACCTGTGCGCCCCGTCTCACCTGTAAGGGTTGGGGTAGCGCAGCCAGAAGGCGGCGAAGACTTGGTCCCAGGGCCCCTTGAGGACGCTCAGGGTCAGGAAGTATTTCCCCATCAGCTCCGCCGTCACCGATCCCGCGGGGTACGGAGAAGAAAGGAGGGGCGCGTTCACGGGAGCGCCGGCCTAGGCGGCCCGACTAGCCCTTCGCCTGCAGGGGCCGCCCTAAGGATCGCGGCGGCAGGAGGCGCCCAGCAGCAGCCGCCGCCATGCGGGGACAGGGGCGAGGCGACGACTTCCGACAGCAAAGCCGAGCTCTTCCGCCGCCTCGGTCCCGGCCCCTCCTCGGCCAGAAGCGCCTCCCCGACACGCGCTTCCGTTCCCGGCACCAAGCACCGCCCCCCTTCCCCGGTGGAGCGCGGGGAGGCTGCGCTTGCTTACCCAGTGGGGGCTCCCTCCCGCTCTCGCGCGCCTGCCTGCACTTCAGCGCCATGAGGCCCAGGTGAGTGCCGCCGCCGCCGCCGCCGCCAAGCGGGCCTTTCTTTCCGGGGGGATGCCAGTCACCTTAGTGGGATCCACCTGGCCACAATGGGGACTTCCCTGAGGCTGCCCAAGCCCTGGGCTGCCAGGGCCTGGGACCATCTCTCAGAGGGTCCCCACTCGAGCCAACACATAGGCTGAGTTGATGGAGACGAGGAAAAGCGAGTGTCCTCCTTTTGAGATTTTCCCTGGCTGGAATTTGGCCCAGTGCGGTTGTACTGCTTGTCGTGTGTGGTATCTGGAAAGCTGGCCGATCTATTGTGGCAGAAGCTTTTCTGGACTCGAGCCCATTTCACCAGATGCCGTTTGTGTTGCTCGAGGGGTCAATGAGTTTTCTGCATTTTTTCCCATTCATATATTTGTTTGTGGCCACCCTCACTAAGTGTCCCCTCCTCCGCCAGATCCTACACTGTATACAAAAATTTGTCTAATCTGTTTGAACCCGTGGGTATTCTTGATGGCCATTACAGGTACTGGGCCCCACTTAGTCCAAGGAGTGTGTGTGTGTGTTTTTATGCTGCTCCCTGTGGTACTGATACAGTTTGTTGCCTTCTGTTTCCTGCAGGTGAGCCTCTCCACCTGAGCTGCACCTTCCTGTTGTCTGCTCCAGCCCACTCTCCGAGACGGGGGAGTTTGGAATCCCTCTGGAAGAACTCTTTGCTGCAAGGGCAGAAGAATGAGTGGGCAGCGTGTGGATGCCAAAGTTGTGATGCTGGGCAAAGAATATGTGGGCAAGACCAGCTTGGTGGAAAGATATGTTCATAACCGCTTCCTTGTGGGGCCCTACCAGAATGTGAGTGTGTCTCTTTCATGGTAGAGATGGAGACAGTTGGGTTGAGCTATCTTCTGTTCTGCTTCTACCCCTAAATAATTATTGGGGTTTTCCACTTAAGCTTCTCTTTTTTTCCTTTTGTTAAACTGATATCTGTGATAGATCTGTTAAGTCCACAGAGACTCTGAATAGGAAAGGAAACTGAAACTATTTCATCAGAAGAGTTTGAGGAAGTAGAGAAACTGTTTATCTGCTCCCAGTCAAGACAGCTTTTGTAAATAAATTCCTAAACATTACTAATCCATAAAAAATAGTTACTGATTTTCTTCCCAACACATACCCATGTTAGTCATTTGTGACACGCCGTTGACCTGAATTTAAGTATTTGCAAGAACTTCCCTGTTTTGCTTCCTGGAGGTAATGCTTGCTTGGTCACACATGAGTGACTATCAGCCAAGAGAGGGACTGCTGGGGTCATGTAACTGCTCTCTTTCTTTTAGACAATAGGTGCTGCATTTGTGGCCAAAGTCATACCAGTGGGAGGCCGGACGGTGACTTTGGGCATTTGGGTGAGTTGAGAGATTGATTTATTCAGTGGATTTTTATTGCTGCTTTGCAGGTCCCCAAGCCAGCTTACAGTACTAATGTAAAAACATCTAAAATGTTTAAAACTAGCAGAGAATCCATTAAAAAGAGGTAGTGCTATTAGCATAGTACTTTGTCCCTCTGAAAGAAACAAACAAGCCTTCAGAGTTCTTCAGAAGACCTGTAAAGACAAGGAGGGGAATTCCACAGCCAGCAGATGGCAGCTGAAAAGACTGTCCCAAAAGGCCTCCCCGGCCTCACCTTTGATAAAGCAGGTTCCCAAAGGAAGGCATCCACCAGTTCAGTTAATATGCAAAACAGTCCTTCTGGTACTTTGGGCCCAAACGATTTAGGACTCTAAAGGTAAAAAGCAGCAGTTGCTATTAAGCCCAGAAGCAAACTGGCAGCCAGTGCAATGGCAGAAGGTCAGGTGTTAGATGTTCTGTTTGACAGAATCCAGTAGAAACCTGTGATATTTAGCATTAGATGAGGTTTCTGAATCATATTCAAGGAAAACCCAATGTTGAACAGATTACAGTAGTCTGTTCCAGATGTTACTAAAGTATGACTGTGGCAAGATTGGCTGTGAGTAGAAATAGCTATAGATGGTAAAGCACCTAAGCGGGGGGGGGGGGGGCACTTCTAGCACCCAGATTGGTAGCCATGTCAGTCTGTCTGAAGAAGTGAGCAATGACTCATGAAAGCTCATACCCTGCCAGGAATTTTGTTAGGCTGCAAGGTGGTACTGGACACTTGCTGTTTCCTGCTTCTAGCACCTTCTGCCTAGCAAGGCTGCCAAGAGCATTTGCGAACTGTATACCTGTTTCTTCAGGCAGAGTGGAAATCCATCTACAGGAGATTGTATACTTGTTCATAAATCAGCCTGATTACCAACTTGCAGCCTTCCATTGTGTCTTAAGGTTCCATTTATTCACCCAAATCCAGTCCATCATATCTTCCAGATGCCAGTTGGAATGGGAGTTAGGTAGGCGATTGGCTGGATCCTAAGGAATCTGCTGATTAAAAGGAGGGGGCAGTTTTTGCCCCTTCCCCCTCTGGCTGTAGAACCCCCCCCCCCTGTGCTATCCCTAGGAGGAGGTCCCCTGTCCTCCAGGAGCAGCACTTCAAAGGGCATTTTGGGCTGCAGAGGGAGGGGGGAGGCAAGGAAGTTGTGTTCCGCAGATGTATATCCTTCTGTTAGTGGAAATGTTCATCAGGATCCAAGCCTATATGTAATAAGCTTTACAGTACAAGAAAACTTAAGTTACTTTGGCTGTACAGTGGAAAGGGGTGGGACTATTTCTTATTGTAAGAACTGTTTTAGTGTTGGTACCATAGCAGTGAGAGATGCTTTGGGTCTTCCCCAAAAGTGTTCCTTTTGCCCCGCAACATGTGCAGTCTTTTATTTCTTTTCTGGTTTTTTTATTATGAAGTTGTTTTATATGGCCTAGGTGGCTGATACATGTGAGGCTCTTACTTTCATGTTGCTGTTCCCTAGGATACGGCTGGCTCGGAAAGGTACGAGGCTATGAGCCGGATCTACTATCGTGGGGCAAAAGGTGCCATTGTATGTTATGGTAAGCAATCATTTGCATGTCGATGCAGGTACATGTACAGCTCTGGACTGCCAATGCCAGAAGAATGTGTACAAAACCGTTTTATCGTTATGTAGCGCATGTTTCCTGATTTGTCCCTGTTACCATCACCTCCTTTACAGGGGGCTGCTACCTTCTAGACCAGAATAATAGTGACTACCAAAATGCATGGACACTCTTGAAAATATGTATTGATCAGCCTTGGCAATCAGTGCTCAAGAGGTGGTCAGCCCCTCCTTGCTGTCCTCACCAGCACAGCTTCTCTTTTCCCCACTTCCTGTGCTACCGCCAGTACCAGTTACCGCCCTCCCTGTCAAGAAGTTCTGATTCAGGACCAGTGAAAGGGAGGCAAACTGTGCCTCTACAGCTTCCTTATGGTGCTCTGCTAAATGGTGTTGCACTGTGGCAGTGCAAGTCTGCCTGCCGTTATGACAGCAGTGGAGTTGATTGGAGCCAATTGTTGCCACAGGCAGCTAAGCAGGTGCTAAATTATGAGGCTAGTATCAACCATGGATTTTTGGAGAGCCAGCATGGTGTAGTAGTTAAGAGCAGTGGACTCTAATCTGGAGAACTGAGTTTGATTCCCCACTCCTCCACATGCAGCCAGCTGGGTGACCTTGGGCCAGTCACAGTTCTCTCAGAACTCTCTCAGTCTCACCTGCCTCACAAGGGGCCTGTTCTGAGAAGAGGAGGGGAAGGTGACTCCTTAAGGTACAGAGAGGTGGGATATAAAAACCTACACCAGTTTGGTGTAGTGGTTAAGTGAGCGGACTCTAATCTGGGAGAACCGGGTTTGATTCCCCACTCCTCCACTTGCGCCTGGCTGGATGACCTTGGGCAAGCCATAGTTCTGATAAGAGCTGTTCTTGAAAAAGAGCAGTTTCTGTCAAGAGCTCTCTCAGCCCCACCTACCTCACAGGGTGTTTGTTGTGGGGAGGGGAAGGGAAAGGAGTTTGTAAGCCGCTCTGAGACTCCTTTGAGTAGTGAAGGGTGGGGTATAAATCCAATCTCTTCTTCTCTTCTCTTTATTACTAAGAAAAAGTTTTCTAATGTTTATTTGGGTGAACGTGAAAGTGCATTGTTACATTAAAGTTGAGCCTTAATAAATCCCTTAACTACCTATTAGAGTTTTATCTCAGCTCAGAAAAGCATATATGGTGAGGCTGAGAGAGAATGGCTGCCTCGTAAGCTTCATGGCTGACTGGGGATCCTAGTTGACACTCAAAACCACTGTGCCATGCTGGCTTCTCTGCTCTGCTGTAGTGCACTATGGGTAGTGGAATGGTCCTGTCAAACCAAACTCTTTTAACGCCTGAGTCAAGGAAAATGGCAGTTCCCATTAGCCTTGTCTCTAAATCTTTTGTGTTAGGGATCTTTGGGATGTTATGGTGAGGGATGTTTGTTTATTAAATAATATATATAATAACACAGTGATCAAATGAAAAGAGTGCAAAGGTTGCAGCAGTGTCTCTGTTGTCGTCGTCGTCATCATCATCATCATCTGGCATTGTGTGTAGTATAGCCAGGAGATCCTAAAATTGTCTGGCAGCCAGAATTTCTAGCTCTTTTAGCGTTATGCACTACTAGGTGGCAAGCCTTGTTTTTAAGGCAAGAGATGTTTCAGAGGTGGTTTGCCATTGCCTGCCTCTTTGTCATGGCCCTGGTATTCCTTGGAAGGTCGCCCATCCAAATACTAGCCAAGGCCAACCCTGCTTAGCTTTCAATATCTGACAAGATCAGGCTAGCCTGGACCAACCAGGTCAGGTCATCATCTGTTACGGTGAACTACTGAGGAAGAAAGCAGTGCTTTCCCAACTAATCACCTAGCTATTCATTTAAGTCTCCAGATGTGCTCTGCCTGTATAGGGGTAAGTGGAATCTACTTTTTGGATTTTGGGTAGGATCTAGCTTTGACACTTCCCCACTTCCACAGATCTTACTGATAGCAGCAGTTTCCAGAGAGCAAAATTCTGGGTGAACGAACTGCAGAACTTTGAGGAGGTGAGTAGATTTCCATTTCAAGGCAGTAAAAGGTGAGGAATTTCACATTACCCTTTTTAACCCATTTTGAAGCCGTTTTTGATCCGTCATGGAGTAAACCGGTATAGGGCTGCCATTTCACACATGGCTTTCCCCTTCCCCTTCCGGTAAAGAGCTGGATCTGAAGCGTTTGCCATTTCAAACTGCACCACTTTTTCCCACCGTTTTTCACCCGCGCGAGCGATCTCCAGCTTTTTTTTTTAACGTTCGCTTTGTAGCACTATAGCACTATAACAAAACACTCCAGACATTCCAATGGCGTTGATATTCTGCTGTTCCGTTATAGCTAATGATATAAAGCAAACATTTTTTTAAAAAAGCCAGAGATTGCCCGCACGGGCGAAAAACGGTGGGAAAAAGCGCATCAGAACCGGGAGAGGAAACTGAAGACTACTTGGAAGCGGTTGACAGGTAAAACGCTTCAGCCCCGTTTCCTAAACGGGACAGAAGCGTTTGTGTCTGAAATTACAAATATATTCCGGTACGGAACCGGTTCTAAAACGGTTCTGTCTGAAATGACAGACCAGAAACCGTTTGGGAACTGTTCCTCTTCCAGATTATATCGTCTGTCTGAAATTCCTCGGTATTTCGGACCTTCTGAGATAGGAGCAGGGAAAGTTCATCTTGCAGAGGGGCATAGCCCAGCATGTGAGACACTTAAGATGGGTACTGATGTGATGCTGGTGGGGCAGGGAGGTTGGGTCTTAGTGTATGGTTGCATGTAAACACTTAAGGCAGCTTACAGGGTGCTTCCATCTAGGTTTGCCTAATCTGAGGGATGCTTGGGTTTTACAGCATTGTGTACCCTCTGATTTATTTCCTGACCCATGTCAATTGTGCCTGGGATTGCATTTTGGGCATTACAGGGGAGCATTTCAATGAACTAATGGTTTATTTGTGGGCACATGCTTGTTCTGGCTGTGTGGGTTCTTGAGACCAGCTGAGGACGTAATCTGCTTGGTCTACTGAACCTGAATGGCAGTACTTGCCTCCTTCTCTTCCTCCGCAGAACTGCAGGATCTATTTATGTGGCACCAAGAGTGACTTGCTAGATGAGGACAGGAGAAAACGAGGAATTGACTTCCATGATGCACAAGACTATGCTGATGGTGTGTGTTTTCCTTCACTCCTTGCTGAGAGAAAGCCACTGGGTGCACCAAGGAGCTTTGCATTACTGGGGTCTCTGGCAACCCTCCTTTGGCTAGCTCAGTCCTTAGAAACAAGAGTGTGTTCTCCTGCTGGCTGTAATTCCTCTGTGAAGTGGGCGTCTGGAAGAGTGAGGCTGGGGATAGAGAGCTGGGAAAGACAACACTGCAAGTCGCTTTGCTGGAATGCTCTAATGAGGGCTTATATGTGGAACACGTGAAGAAGAAAAAAACAGTCCTAGGTCCATAGGGAAAAGATGCTTGTGATATATCCATAACAGGAGATTCAATCATTGGCCAGAGATTGCCGTTATCTTCTGCTGTTTTGGGAGCTGATCACTTCTACTTGTTCCTTCCTTTTCCATCAGTAAAACTGACAGCAAAGGCAGGAAGGGTGATTTTGCCCCCCCCCCCACTGCAGTCTTCTGACCTGTGTGACTCTTCGTCCACGTGGGTTCCACAACAGTGGGAATAAACTTTTCTGAAGTTGGGAAGGACTGCTGGGGAGGGGGCAGCAGGGAAGCTCTGTGACTGCCAGAACCTTCCATTGACAGATGAGTTGTCTACAAAGGACTAAGTAGTAGTCTTGGGGAAAATGAAATAGAACATTTTATATTGTCATTTCAGAGATCAAAGCTGAGCTGTTTGAAACCTCCAGTAAGACGGGGCAAAACGTAGGTGAGTATCCATTGCAATATGCAGGATTAGAACAAAGTTTGAATCCAGTGGCACCTTTAAGACCAACAAAGTTTAATTCTGGGTATAAGCTTTCGTGTGCATGCACACAAAACCTTATACCCAGAATTAAACTTCGTTGCTCTTAAAGGTGCCACTGGACTCAAACTTTGTTCTGTTGGTTCAGACTGACGTGGCTACCCACCTGAATCTGTCAGCATGCAGGATTACAGCTTTATGACCAGACCATGGCTGGTGTACTTGGAAACCCTCATCCCAGGGGGAATAATGTGGACTATGTTACTGGTGTGCCTTTACCTTAGATCTTCTGCTGTTTCCCCTGGCTTGACAATCCCTGGCTGCTGCAGATGCGACAGCTTGCCTGTTGTGTGCCTTATGAAGAGGAAGGATGATAAGAAGTAATGGTATCTGTTTCAAAGAAAACTGCAGCTTAATCCTAAACATAGTTAATAAGAAAGTCCTACTGAATTTGGTGAGACTCACACCCTAGTTATCACACTTAGGACAGAAGGCTTACCGCATTTTGGCTGATAACTGTGGTCTGCAATAAGGGTGGGTAGTCAGACTGTAAGTCGCAGCCAGTGGATTGCTTGATTTAGCTACCTCAAGAGTTTAACAAGGGAGACACAGGGTGTTTATCTCTGGGCTTTATTATCCTCTGAGCTTACATGTTCCTACTGGAGACAGCTGGGGCAAATCATGATTTTGTGTTTTTATTTTTAGACGAGCTGTTCAAGAAGGTAGCTGAAGACTATGTGCAGTTTACTGCATTTCAAGAAATGACAGGTGAGCTGCCCTTTGTGCACCATGTGCCCTCATGAAAATATTTATCCTCTTCTTTGTACGTGGTGGTGGCGGAAAGGGCCATCCAGTCACAACTGTCTCTGCCAAGTCTCTGCCCTGGCCCCAGTCTGCTGGAACAAGCTCCCACTTGAGATTCAGGGCCCTGTGGGATTTGTTACAATTCCACAGGGCCTGCAAAATTGAGCTGTTCTGCCAGGCCTTAGGATGAGGCAACGGACATCCAAATCTGTCTTCAGCCTCCCCTTCTGATAATACTGGCCTTTGACCAGCCCAAGCTGAGCACCATTGTCGAGGCAAATCCACTCTGACTGCTGTTTTTATTGTTTTAACATGATTTTAATTATTTAAATTTTACAGTTATCTGTGTGACTTGAAACCCACCCTGAGCCCACTTGTGGGGAGAGAAGGATAAAAATAAAATAAATAAAAATAAACCAACTTATGGCTACCCCAGAGGGGTTTTCAAGGCAAGAGACCTTCAGAGGTTGTTTGCTATTGCCTGCCTGCCTCTACATAGCAACCCTGGACTTCCTTAGTGGTCTCACATCCAAGTACTAACCAGGACCAACCCTGTTTAGCTTTTGAGATCTGATGAGTTTAGGCTAGCCTGGGCCATCCAGGACAGGGCTCTTTGTACATGCTCTGGTGCAGATCTGTTCCCGAATTAGGGCATACCTAGCACATGGACCGTCTCTGAGTAAGATGAATAGTTACGGTGGGTTATCCTGAGAAATTCTCATTTCATCTTATGTTACCTATAATCTCCCATCTTTTCTAAATGTTAAGTGATTTGTTGATAAATGCAGGACTGGGGCTGGCAGAAGAAGAAATGTGTTGGTCTTTTTGCTTTCTTTGTGTACAGAGTTGATCTGAATGGGGCACAATTATTGTCTAGAAAAGTTATGAAATATCCTCTTCTGCAGAGCTATAATCTTCCAGCTGCTCCCTGTGCCACGTGCTTTATCATATACTCTTCTCTGCTTTTAGAGGATAAAGGAGTAGATCTGAGCCAGAAGACTACGCCCACCTACTTCTACAGCTGCTGCCATCATTGAAATTCTCCTTAGTTCGCCAAAAGCAGTGTTCCTCTTCCTGGGTTTGCATTGCAGTTCATGCCCTTGAGATGGTTCAGATCTTTTATTGGCTATATGGAACATTTTGCCCGTTGGCCATGCAGAGCATCCCTGGCTGGCACCTCTTCAGGAAGGAGAGAGTACAGCAGACCCAGGTTTTTTGTTGCATCTACCACAAGCCTTGTTGCCGAGAGACTGGGATCGCCTTGTGCCCTCCGCCCTTCCAGAGGCTAGCTAATTATTGAAGCATGCCAGGAATTGTTTTTCCACAACAGGCTTCCTTGCAGAAGACAGCCTGTGCTGACTGTGGTAGATTCTGCCCTTTGGAAGGTGTTGTGTGATTCCTTTGCTTTATTATTTAAAATTGGCTTCTAAGTTATATAAATGTAAATAAAAATGCAGTGTGGTCCTGTGTTGTTATATAGCTGGAGCTAGGACTGTTTTTACACTAATAGGGAAGCACATGGTGAAAATGGGATTGACCTTCATCTGCACACACAGCTGGACAGGGAACACTCTGCATCAGTAGGAAAGATATACCTCACTGGGGTTATACAGAGGACTGTCAATTTCCAGCATAGGACAACTCTCTAAGATAATCAAGCCGCAAGGGGTGGGGGGAGTTTCAGGGAAGAAACAAAAGTCTGGCCCTGAAAGAGCCTCTCAGGAACTCAAGACCTTTTATTGGACTAACTTTTGTGGGTGATAATAGGCCCAATCAGAAAGCATTTTGTTGGGGCTAGTTGTTGGCATATGTAGTTATGTCATGTTTATTACTAATAAGTAGGTGAGAATGAAGTGCTCTCTCTGATTTACTTAACTGATGGTTCTCTGTAATGCCCAAATATGAATACTTTTCCCGTGAGAAGTTTCAGTAAGACATTTATGTCCCACATCTGCAACAATGTGCATGAACTGGATTACAATAAAATCAAAAGTTGGTCTCCCAAACCCCCTCACTTCAGCCATTTTGCTCTACCTAAAAGGCCAAATCAATAGAATGCTATGGATCAGAAAGAAATCTGATTCCCACTTAGTAAATTCTCATGTTCCCTCTAGGAATTTTGTTGAAATTGGAAAGATACTGTGGCTGCCTAAAGGGAATTAGGTAAATTTCCTAATAGCATAGAATGACAGACTGGGAAACAGAATTTCCAAGCTCCACTTTTCATTCTCTCTCATAGGAAATGTGTGAGAGCCAGGCAGTTTCTCCAGGCATCCTGAACGGCACCTGAGATGCACCTGTGCTTCCCTGTTACTTCATGTTCTATCTGACAGCCTATCCTATTTGGCCTATTTTTGAAAGGAAAGCCTGGGGCTCCTCTTCCTAGCCTTTTCTCTGAAGTGACAGGTGGGGACTGGTCAACGTCACAGGGAACCAGAACTAGTTTTCCTTCATCCTACCTCACAATCAGTGTTCCCTCTAAGCTGAGTTACTGTGAGCTAGCTCACAGTTTTTTAGCCTTTGGCTCACACATTTTTGTCTTAGCGCAGGAAGGATGGCTCCAGAGCAGACTAATTTATGCAGCAGCCAAATCGCTCGCTCACAACTTTAATGCCAGTAGCTCACACAGTAGAATTTTTGCTCACAAGACTCCACAGCTTAGAGGGAACATTGCTCACAATGCCAGCCTAATGAGGCTTTTATGGACCAAGGCCATAGCAATAATTGGAAATTCCCCAAGTGATCAAACAAATTCAAGTTTATGAAACTATTTAAAATACTGTCTATAAACTACTTTATGAACAGGAGTGGAGAAGCAGTATATGTGTTTTGTAAACAAAAATACCGGTGGGATGCTGCTAATGTCATTTCTACGCAAGCTGCTATGGCCCTTTCAGAGAGCAATAAAGCCATTATTTCCTAGCTTCATTTCCTCTTGCATTAACAGCTACACTTTGTACTTTTTGGTTTGATAAGCTGCTTTTTTAACAGGTGTCTTGATAAAGATTACTTCAGTGTCCTAAGGGCTATATGTATATATACATTATTTAACTACCTCCTTCTGGTGCAACCTTCCACACACTGCTTTCCCCGCAGCCTTTTACATCACGGACTTCAGGAACCACAGAAGCTTCCTAAACTTCATCTCAATATACTGATGGCTTACAGAAGTCCCAATGGAAAGTTTCTTGCAATTCAGGCTCAGTACTTGGGATATTACACTGTGCTCTGGTAATCCTTCACAAGTGTATTTACTTGTCCATACAAGCAAATGTGTGGATTCAATCCTAGTTAAAGACATTATAAATACCAGTGGTATGTATGTACCCTTTCCAGTTCTGCATGGTAAAAGAAGCTATGGAAGCACAGTGGCAACTTCCTTGACCCCCTGCTTAAAAATACAGATACAGTTCAGAAAGCAGCAGAGACAGGACAGTGCTTCATTACCTTTCTGTGTATCGTCAGCTTTTCCTCCTTGGAGAAGAATGTTTTTCTTGATAGCTAAATACTGTTGTATTGAGTCTACAAAGATAGTACAGGGGGGAAATAGAAATACCTGGGACTGGTAAAGGATCTACTTCCCAAATATATAAACCCAATACTATGATATAGATGTTCATGTAGGATACATTGATCCAGTAAGCATGCAACTGCTCTGTGCTCTGCAATCTGGTCCAACTGGGTTTCCCCAGAAGTAGTGCCTTAGTCTCAGGCCTGGGGCTGTCAAGGCATGGGGTGGAGCTTGGAACACGGGGTTTGTGCCTTGTGGACCGGTTGATCCAGCAAGGTTGTCTTCTTGGGACTCAGTTTAAATAGACTGAGAGGTAATTCACCCCAGTGTAGTTGCAGGCAGGTGCTGGAGTTCCTGTGCTGTACTCTGGGCAGGGTCTTGCAAAAGTACCATCAGAGCACTATTCTTGCTCAACATTTGGGCTGCATGCAGCTCATCTGGCATTTTGCCTCTTCTGTGCCACTCTGGCCTGGACCTTCTGCCGCCATTGTTCCTGCAAAGTAAGAGGATCCTGGGGGGGCTACAGGCCCACATTTGAGACCTGCAGGGCAGAAGAGCAGTGGCCAGGGTTTTTTTTGCAGGCTCTGGCACGGAGCCTCTGCAGAGCTGGGCCCTCCCTGATCCCTCTGGCCCTCCTCTGCCACTGACCTCGTCTTTCCCTTAGCACTGTGAGCTGACCACTGAGTTGGGCAGAGGGAACCGTAACAGCAACAAATCCAGTCAGTGGTTCTAATCCACTAACCAGATTACATCTGGACACAGTGCTTCCAAGAAGATGAGAACAATGATATGGTGTTGGAACGTGCTGTCAAGTCACAGCAGACTAGTAGTGACCCCATAGGGTTTTCAAGGCAAAAGACCCTCAGAAGTGGTCTCCCATCCAAATACTGACCAGGGCCAACCATGCTTACCTTCTGAGATCTGATCAGATTGGGCTAACCTGGGCTATCCAGTTCAGAACAACAGTGATATGGCAACACTCTAAGGGAGCTTGAACATCACTTATCAAAGGAATTGGCAAGGGAACCTATTACAGAACTACAGATTTCAGGGTCCGGACAGAATTATTGTTAGTTTCATGTACATAATGTAAATATAACCAAATTGCAGACTGGACCTTACACTAGGGCCTATTAAGGTGAAAGACTGTAACTGAAAATGTATCTACTGCACCTAAAAAGAGAGGTAGGGACCTAATTTTGAGAGTAAAAAAGGGTATGGTATAGGGGACATGACCCCTCTCTCTCTGCCGATTTCTTTCCTGATACCATTTTCTCCCAACTGAGCTCTGATACTAGACCTGAGCCGCACTGGCAGAAAAGCACCATGGAGAATGTGGGAGGAGAGGCTAGGGTGAGGTACACAGAAGGTTCACTTCCTCTGCCCCACACCTGTTTTGCTCTCAACATCAGACCCTTTGTCCACGGCTTAATTCGTGCCTGGGGAAAAGCCAGCTTTAAACAAACATGGCTACCACTGTGATATGTAGTTTGAATCTAAACCTGCATTTATAAAGTTTGCCACTGTACGTAGCTTGGTCAGACTGCCAGAGTAAAATAAACCAAGAAGTGAGGTGTGAGATTCCAAATTAGCACTGTATGTCTTGGTGGCCACCCTTTTGTTAAAGTTAAAAACGTTTGATGCAAACTAGCAAGGCCCAAAAGCTTTCCAACAGTCATTAGAGATGGGTGGTTAGAATCCAGTTGCAGGTTTTCTTTACTGAGATAAGGCAGTTTTAATGAAACTAGTTTTCAGAAATAGCTGCTAAGGAGGTGAGTGCAAGTCTGAAGTTCTGGTTGAAACTAATGTTATTCCAAACTGTTTATGGAAATATCTGACTCTGGACTTGCCCTGACGCAAAGAAAGTAAAATAGAACTCCCACCCCACCCCCTACCCTTTTGTCTACCCACTCGTAATCTCCTCTGTGAGACAATAAAACTGATCAGAATCTGCACTGCCCAAGAGCAATGAGACAACATACAACCGTCAAGAGTAAAGTTAAACTTTACTTTACAGTAATTGCTTTCTTTTATATACAAAGAATTACAGTACATATTCCGGGAACACCTGGGTAGGGCAACCTTTTCCATTATAGTAAGTTTCACATACAGTCAACTGGCTATAAGGAGACCAAAATGAAAGTAATGATCCAATACTCCTCTTCTTAATACAGACACTATAAACACTTCCCTCGCCCAGCTCTTTAATCCTTTTGTCGATTACACAGATGAGAATTGGGTAGTTCTGTATACATACATTAAGTCTGGCTGTCACTACTAACACCAGCATATGCTCTGTTGACTTCCCTCTCGTTATCCGTGAAGAAACATAAAGATTAAACTCTGGAGAGTCACTGCAGAACAGGAGTTCAGTCCTCCTCTTGCAACAGCCCTCCTCAGCCACAACTCCCACTGAGGTGCTTTCCAGATCAGCAACAAGCATGCTTGAGAAGGATGAAGCAATACAAAATGGCTTGGGAAAACAATCTTCCTCCACTCATTCATGTTAGCACCGCTTAATGCTCATTTCCCAGCCTGGCCTCTCTGTTTTCTTTCAGTTTGTTACTTAAAAGAGTGGGGAGAACCTACTCATTTTAACCCTTTTCCATTTCTAGCTGTCTCAGGGACCATCTCTGTTTGCAGCAGACATCATTCTCGGACCAAGCAATACCAGGGATGCATGAACCCTTTTCTCTCCTTGCTCCACCTGCTGTGTGGCACCCACTGAATGAAGAATACAAAGGAGAGCTATATAAATGTTTTATCATGGACAGATTTGTTAAATAATCAAAAAAAAAAGAACTACTGCACCAATAGTGAGAATCGGGACAGTGAAAGGTAGGTGTCATATATACATTGATCCTGCTTTCCTGAAAATGGCAACTGTTTGGGAACGTAGAAGTCAAAAGGAAAAAACTGTGGTCATTATTATTTTTCTATTTCATCACTTTTTGGGAAATGTACTCTGAAATCTCTTGCTCTCATTATGAAGCTATCCTAGGTACCTGTAAATGCAATCCTTTTTAAAACACTAGAATATACTTCCTTCATCACTGGCCCTCTGCTTCTCACAGACATGCAAAATGCCAAACACACTACAGGTTAGTGACAAACCTGTGGTATCACATAGACCTGAAATAAACTATACAAATTTTGGGAGAGCCTTTAACAGTTTCAGCACAAAAACAAGAGCATGTGCAGAATGTTTAAATGCCTACTCCAAATTTCCACTTTCAACAGAAAAGGCCAGACCTCAGTTCCTCCACTACAAACTATACATCCTAAAGCAAATGCACTGTAGCACACTTAGCGTTCACAGAATAACAAAGACAGCAATGCTTTCCAGACAAGCAAAGGCCACTGCAGTTGATTTTAGCACTGGTGGGGGATTGCCAGATCTTTCCGTATAAAAGCTGAACCACATTTTCCCATGTAGCTAGCCTGCCTGGCTTTTATTAACATGCATCAGGCCACAGCACAGCACTAGAGAAGGGAGGACATTTGCAGTGTTAAGGCTGAAGTCACAGAGGGCAATGTGAGAACAGAATCTAGTTTTAGTTTGTGGAGCTGCGAGTCTCCCAGAAGTGATACAAATACCCCAAGATCAAGATAAGCAACACAGATTTTCTAATCAAAGTGCTGCTTCCCCCCAAATAATACAAACCTCAAGAAACAGCTAAAGAACTTATGCCATTCAGAGGAATCTGCAGTTATGTTCATTGACTGGCATGCATGTTTTCTATCCAAAGGCAGTATAGAGACGCGTCTTGTAGCCATGCACAGGAATTGTGGCTTCTAGTGTAGCTCTACTGTAGGAAGGATGGTGGCTAAAGACATTGGGCAACAATTCCACATTCTCAGAAGGCCAATGAGAACCTAAGTCTGGAAAGACCAGTTTGTTTACTTCACTTTCAAGCCAGTTTTATACAGATTCTGGCTTGTTCTGTTTCTCAAAAAGATGAAGTAATTAACTTTTTTGTAATATTACTTTTCACATGAAATGACTT